CAGTGAGAGTCAGTGTGGGAGTTGTACCCCATTGAGAGTCAGTGTGTAGGGGACTGTATCCCAGTGAGAGTCAGTGTGTGTGGGAGCTGTACCCCAGTGAGAGTCAGTGTGTGTTGGAGGCTATATACATTAGCATGAAGCGGTCAATGACAAACAGGACAATATGAGCACTTTTAAGACGGGGTACTGAATCAAGTTGAGCATCGCAAAAATTAGTCCCTGTGGCCTTGACTGCATTGTTAATAAATTGCCAATAGATAGGAAAGCGAGTTGTGAAGAGGATACAAAGCACATGCTTAGAATTGGTTCATTGAGTTGACAAAATCTTGGATGGTATACAATGTTAAAAAGTGAAATTGTTAATTTTAGCAGGAAATTGAAGTTTTGCAGATTATTTTAATGATGGAGCCTGCAAAATGCTGGGTATGGTGCTATCTGGGAGTTGTTGTGCATGATTCACTGAAATTAGTATGCAAGTCCAGCAAGTCATTAGGAAGGCAGATCAAATATTGACCTTTATTGCGGCAGGTGGAGTACAAAAGCACTGTTGAGAAGTCCTGCTATGAATGTACAGTTTGATCCTCGTATCCCAGGAGGAATAGATAACTGTAAGATGTAGTTCAGAGTAGGTTAACTTACCTACTTACTGCTATGAAGTGTTTGTCTTCTGAAGAAAGGCGAGTAGGTTGAATTTTTATTGAGTGGACCTCAGAACAATGGGAGGCATCTACTTGAAGGGGCTTGATAGGATTGATGTGGACAGGATGATTTCTCCTCTTGAACGAATCCAGCTCAGAGGGCCTCAGTTCAAAATTAATGGACCTTCCATTTAAAATGGAGGTGAGGGATAGTGCTTTTCTCTCAGTGGGTCGCTGATCTTCGGAATTTTCTATCCCAGTGGCAGTGAGTCATTGATTATATAGGAGTATTGGTTGGTCAACATTATGTCATACACGTTGAAGGCACGTGACATGTTCTTATTGACTGGTAGCACAGATTCAATGGGCTGAATGGCCTGACCCTCTCCTTCTTTCTGTTGTTTAGCCCTCAAGTGGATATAAGAGACCCTGAACATGATTCTGAAAACTGAGGTGATGCCTCCCAAACACAAACATAGATTTCCTGATTATTTATCACAGCCCTGTTTGCGGGATCTTTCCGTGCATACATCTGCTTCCGAATTTACGGTGGTTCCACATCAAAACTTCCGTAAATAGAAATGACGTTTTTTGAAGAGGCTTGACAGAAGCGACGGCGCCACTGAAATGCAGTTCGCCCGGAAAACCGGGAGAACTAGTCACGTGACCTGCCCATTACGTAGCCCTTCGACAACAGCGGAGTCCTCCGGTATCCCAGCATGCTGCGGGCGACAGGCCCTCCGGAATCCCAGGGTGCAACGGGAGGGTTATCGTCCCGGTCTGGGTTCTGGCTCCCTGATGTTAGAAAACTGCGGTCCGGGAGCAGCCTGAGGAGCCCGGGCCATGGCCAGCGGGCGGACTACGGCCCTGGTAAGCGATGCCTTTCGGACGACGTTCCGTCAAGCTCACCCCTAACCCCGGTTTATACACCCCGGCCCCGACCCGCCCCTCCCCTCCCCTCCCCTCTGGCCCCGCCCCTCCCCTCTGGCCCCGCCCCTCCCCTCCCCTCTGGCCCCGCCCCTAAGATCTTGGCACCGCCCTTCCCATGTGGCCACGCCCATGACACCCAGGCTCCGCCCCCTTCCTCTTTGGGCTGAGGCCGTTCCGCCCGATGTGGCCGTGCTGGCTCTCTCCAGGGCAATTCCTTATTTGCCCCCAGAGCCTGCTCTCTGTGACCCTGCACGTTCTTGTTCCTGTCCCCAAGTGAGTGCCCCCTTTTATCCCGAGCTTGAGTTCCATAAAGGTCGACTCCATCTGCAATCCCAACAAATCCATGTGCAGTTGTAGCCAAACGTCTTTGGTGCTGTAAATAAATAACTTTTACCTTCATCACTGTTCCCTAAGCCTGGATGCTAACTGAAATCAAAACAGAAATTGCTGCAGAAACTCAACAGGTCTGACAGCCTCCGTGGAGAGAAAAACAGTTAACATTTTGAGTCCAATCATTCTTCCTCGAGACTCCAAATCATAGTTGTCCCAAAATGTTAACTCTCTATCTGTCCCCACAGAGGCTGCTAGACCTATTAATCAGAGTTAACATTTCAGGATAACTATGATTCGGAGTTTTGAGGAAGTGTGACTGGACTCAAAATTGTAACTGTTTTTCCTCTCCACAGATGCTGTCAGACCTGCTGAGTTTTTGCAAGAATTTCCAGTTTTATTTCATATTTCCAGCATCCACACCATTTTGCTGTAGTTGATTGTATGGTGACCTAACAGTCTTCCTGTCTGAGAGTTAGTATGGCCTGTTCATTTCTCTGACTCCCATTACGTCTGTTTCTCACTGGTTCACATCCTAGGGAGGGAATGCCACTGGAAGGAGTGTGTCCATCTCTAAATGGAAGAGTGTTTTGTCTAGAGTGAGGTCCTCCCTGTGCATGTTCCAAAGAGCCCAGAAGAAGCCTGCAGAACCACAGAAGCTCCACAGGGAGTGGGCCCAGTCCAACGACTCCAGAAATACGGAGTGGCCATTACCCCAGTTTGTCTCTCTCTTCTTTCCGGAGTTCACCTACCGATCGCAGCAGCTGGAGTGGGAATTCCAGGTATCTGTCCATTAAGATTTCAACCCTCCCATCAGGTTTGTCTACGGTTTGCTCAAAGTTATATTGATCACAGTTTTTATCTTTTTGGGGAAGAAAACTTGTCCCTCAGTGTCTTTCTGTTTTGAACAAAATTCCTTTGATATGACTGGTCACATGTCCAGGCCATTCATCATTGTAACTTCCTATGAAAATAAATTCCATGTAATTTTTCTGTGTAAAAGTTAAAGTTGTAAATTGGAGGAAGGATGGAAAATGGTAAGCCTTCACAAATGAGGTAATGAGAGTCCAGAGATAGTATGTTCGTGTTAGGGTGAAGGGCAAGGCTGGTATATGTAGGGAATACTGGATGACTAGAGAAATTGAGGTTTTTGGTCAAGAAAAAGAAGGAAACACATGTCAGCGGTGTATAACGGCAGCAGGAGTATACTTAAGAGGGAAATCAGGAGGGCAAAAAGGGGATGTGACATAGCTTTGGCAAATAGAGTTAAGGAAAATCCAAAGGGACTTTATAAATACATTAAGGACAAAAGGTAACGAAGGAGAGAAAAGGGCCCCTTAAAGATCAGCAAGGCCACCTTGGGTAGTGGTGGAGGGTTGCTTTTCAGTCTGGAGGTCTATGAGTGGGGGTGTGCCACAAGGATCGGTGCTGGGTTCACTGCTTTTTCTCATTTATATAAACGATTTGGATGTGAGTATAGGAGGTATGGTTAGTAAGTTTGCAGATGACACCAAAATTGGAGGTGTAGTGGACAGTGAGGAAGGTTACCTCAGAGTACAGTGGGACCTTGATCAGATGGACCAATGGGCCAAGGAGTGGCAGATGGAGTTTAATTTAGATAAATGTGAGGTGCTACATTTTGGAAAGGCAAATCAGGGCAGGACTTATACACTTAATGGTAAGGTCCTGGGGAGTGTTGCTGAACAAAGAGACCTTGGAGTGCAGGTTCATAGTTCCTTGAAAGAGGAGTCGCGGGTAAACAGGATAGTGAAGAAGGCATTTGGTACGCTTGCTTTTATTGGTCAATGCATTGAGTATAGAAGTGGGGAGGTCATGTTGCAGCTGTACAGGACATTGGTTAGGCCACTTTTGGAATACCATGTTCAATTCTGGTCTCCCTGCTAAAGGAAGGATGTTGTGAAACATGAAAGGGTTCAGAAATGATTTATGAGGATGTTGCCAAGTTTGGAGGGTTTGAGCTATAGAGACAGGCTGAATACGCTGGAGCTATTTTCCCTGGAGTGTTGGAGGCTGAGGGTAGACCTTATAGCGGTTTATACCATCATGAGGGACATGGATAGGGTGAACAGCCAAGATCTTTTCCTTGGGGTAGGCGAGTCCCAAACTAGAGGGGCGTAGGTTTAAGATGAGGGGAGAAAGATTTAAAAGAGACCGAGGGGGCAACTTTTTCACGCAGAGGGTGTTATATGTATGGAATGAACTGCCAGAGGAAATGGTAGAGGCTGGTACAATTATAACATTTAAAAGGCATCTGGATGCGTATATGAATAGGAAGAGTTTAGAGGGATACGGGCCAAATGCTGGCAAATGGGACAAGATGAATTTAGGATATCTGGTCAGCATGGACGAGTTGGATCGAAGGGTCTGTTTCTGTGCTGTACAGCTCTGTGACTACATAAACATCACAGTGTAGTTTCAAGCTCTGGTCACTAGATGGTCTTGTAGTGTGATTTTATGAATCCTGCCTCCCGATCCTGGCCCATCTTACTTATCCAAACGTGTCAAAAATGCATCAATTCTCTGTCAGCAATTTCCACAAGTTGCTGTAATAGGAACTGTGGGGAGTTGCAGCAATCCATCATGTAGATAGTACATACCTGCTGCTCCTGTGTGTTTGTGGCACAGGGACTGAATGTTGGAGGGAGATGGGGTGCCAGTCAACAGGCTTCTTGAGTTTTGGGTATTGAAATGTTATGAGCACGATGGAGTTATTGATCAATTGAGTGATCATTTGCTTATCATTCAGTGGGACTTGAGGGAAATCTCCAGTTTTGGAAAGAAATTCAATGAAAACCAAAAAGCTGCTCCCATCAGACACTTGGGGTCATTGAATGTTGTTTGTGTCTTTCCTGCTCAGGACATTGAGATCATTGCCAAAGGATCCATTGGACCGATTCTGAAAGTCTGTAAAAGGACCGATGAGCAGATCTACGCTCTCAAGGTAATTATCGATACAGGTTAACACAACTGTGTGAAACAAAACACTCCCAGGACAGGGATAGCATGGGGTGAGATACAGAGTAAAGCTCTCTCTAACTATCCCCATCAAACACTCCCACGACAGGGACAGCGTAGGGTTAGATACAGAGTAAAGCTCTCTCTACAGTGTTCCCATTCAAACACCCCCAGGATAGGGACAGCATGGGGTTAGATACAGAGTAAAACATGTACACAGTCCGTATGGTGTCCTTCACCCATGGATTGCCCTTGTCTGCAGTGACTCACTCGAGCCTCCTGATTTAGCTCTGGAATGAGATTAAATAATTATGGAAAATTGACTGGATTGCATGTTGAAAATGTTCACTGATTTTAGTCATAGTCTGCAGTGTAATGATTGTTGCAGATCTGGTCTTGATGTAATGAATGATGTTTTTGTTCTGGGTCATCATATAAACTGTGTTTTCCCCACAGGTACTGCTGAAGGCAGAGATATTTCGACAGGGAATGCTGCAGCAGTGCAAGGAAGGAGCCACTCTTCAGGTAAGGAGCCCTCATCCAATTAGTGTGTACATGACAACCCCTCAGCCCCTTATTCCCCCTGCCACATTCCCCACCCCACACTCACTGCACTGACCCACTGGTCTGTGTCTCCTCCAGGCAGCAGTGGCTCCTCCCCATGACTGAGGGAAGCAGGGGGAGGAGTACTAGCTGGGCAACTCTTTCATTCACTTTTGGGATGTGGGTATCACTGGCTGGGCCTAGCATTTATTGTTCGTCCCTAGTTGCCCCTTGAGAAGGTGGGGGTGAGCTGCCTTCTTGAACCACTGCAGTCCATGTGCCGCAGGTTGACCCACAATATCCTTAGGGAGGGAATTCCAGGACTTTGACCCAGCAACAATGAAGGAATGGAGATATATTTCCAAGTCCGGATGGTCATTGGCTTGGAGGGAAACTTGCCGGGGGGTGGTGTTCCCATGTATCTGCTGCCCTTGTCCTTCTAGATGGAAGTGATGGTGGGTTTGGAAGGTGATAGTTAAGGAGCGTTGGTGAATTTCTGCAGAGCATCTTATAGATAGTACACACTGTAGATAACTTATAATTTAGTCTTCATCATCTCTTCCCCCTTTCTGCATTTGGATCACATCACAAGTAATTCTCACTCTTCCCCATTGCAGCACCTCACTCTATTCCCATCCAGTTCCCCACCACATCTCTTGTCCCTCTATTATGCCTCATTGTGGTGGCAAACTGTAAATTAAACCCAGCTATTCCCAGGGTCATACCAAATGTTAAAGTTTTTTCTTGAGATACGCACTGTTCCCCAATTTACTTAACTTTCAGACCGAGCTTGATTGAAAGAGAGACCAGGTTTCTGTACTCAATAAGAATTATAATTTATAATGAGCAATTACACCATAGCTACAAGAAATGGATATAAACCACCGGTATATATAACACAATTAATGGAAAAAAAAAGAAAGGACTGCAGATGCTGTAAATCAGGAACAAAAACAAAGTTGCTGGAAAAGCTCAGCAGGTCTGGCAGCATCTGTGGAGGAGAAAACAGAGTTAACGTTTCGGGTCCGGTGACCCTTCCTCAGAACTCAATTAACTAAAACTTTAATCCCTTATAGACACCCCTTAATGTACGCACATACACAGACAAACAAATAGGGAAGGTAGATTATTGGCAGAGGTAGAAAAACTGGAAAGTTAGTTCAGTGACTTTGTTTCCCAATTCTAACGTTGCCTTCTCAAGGGGCAACTAGGGATGGGCGATAAAATGCTGGCCCAGGCAGCGATACCCACGTCCTACAAGCGAATAAAAGAAATGATGATCTGTCCTGGGTAACCAGACCCTTGGTGTTCTCTTGTCTTCTCTGGAAGATGAGATTTCTAAGAAGTTGAGAGCGACTGAGTCACTTGGAAAATGTCTCTGATTTATCAGTTCAGAAGTTACAGCTTACAGTAAATGTTGTGAGAAAGGTAACCGGTTCTCTTTAGCTTTAAGCGGAGTTTTTGACTGCACAGAACGTGCAGCTGCTGGGGCTGGGTGAAGGTCTGCACATGTCATTTTCATCCCTCTCTTTCTCTCTGTGTCTCTGTAACTTGTTTCCAGCTCCAAGCTGCTCAGTCACTCAAATCAATCACAGTTGTTGGCAAGCAAAGCTCTGTGTGATTGATAACTGTCACTAGTCCATAGACCAATCGACCTCTTGTTGCTGAGGGAGCTGTGTCAGTGTACATCCTCAGCTTCGGATCGTTACAATCTGACCATCACTTTGTGCTTGTTATACAGTTGTTTACAATGCCTGCCTTGGAGATCAGCTTCCTCGCTTTCAAACCTGCAGCCATTCTTTCAAACACTGGTGTTTTCAGAAACAAATGTTCCCAGCTTTTAAAACACAAAATTAAAAAGACACGGCCCGTACGGCTCCTGTCCCCCGTACCTTTCCCCACAGCTCTGGAGTGGTGGGGAACCTGACTCAACGTCACTCCTGATCCAGAAGCCAAGATTGTATTCCTCGGTTCCCTAATGAACGATCTGACTACATTCCTTTGCTCCAGTAAAGCTGTTCTCTCAATGTTGAGAGTTAACTAGCTTCTCCGTATCTACTCCATTGAGTCTTTTAGCATTTTAAACATCACATCAGATCATCCTTCAGCCTTTTAAATCTTTCAGGCTCGATCAAGTAGTTATGGAGAAACAATAATGACTTGCATTTATATGACGCCTTTCGTGTAGCTAATGAGTGCAGAGCCGGACCACTTGGTGGGGAAATCGGGTAGTATATATGCTCACAGAGCAGACTGGAAATTTAGAACTCTACCCCGCCAAAAGGCTGGGGACCATTTGGAGCCTCCGGAATGAGATCAATCACTTTGTAAAAGCTGAGGTTCTCTAACCCATCTCCTCCTGTCCCTGTGATCCTTGATCCCACCCTCCTGTCAGACCCCTGCTGTTACTTCAGCTTGACTTGCCCCATCGCCAGCCCCACCCCCACAAGGCGGATGTGCCTTAGCAGCTATTTGTGGAAATGTTTTTTTTTCTTGTTCTCTCCCCCTCCCCACCCCACAGAAGCAGGTCCGCCATTCGTTTGTGCAAGGTTTACGGGAATGCTGGCAGTCTCCACGCCTGCTCTTCATTAGTGAGTCCTCCAGGTGCAACGGAGCTTCCTAACCCCCATCACCACCACCCCGCACCCACCACTCCCGCTCCCC